TATACTGTGTAAACTCAGCCAATGGGCTTGCTGCTCTTAGTTTAAAAGTCTTCCCTAAGATGGTGCCTTCCAGTTGTGTCCAACAACAATTCCTCATATGGCCATCTTAGCTTGGCATTCTGGGTGTTGAAGTGTAATTTATCTAGAAAGCACCAGATTAGGCAGACTGAGATAGAAGTTACTAAACAAAAGTCCATGAAAAATTAATCTCCTACATGACGAGTCTGCTTATACTCCTTGTACAATCCTTATTTTCTGTTGACCAGTATGTCATGTGCTAATTAGAATGACAGATAAGTTCTCTTTCAAGTTGGATTTGACTCTTGAAGAACTTCAAAGACGCACCCATGTAACTTTCTTGGCAGTAATGTGGAAGTTTGCTTGTTTTTACAGCTGCTTTCTAGGATCCTTTATCAACTTCTCAGTTGAGGTTATATAGCCCTGTAATTTCACTCAAACATTAACCAGGTTTTATCTTGCTTAATTTTCCAAGATCAGTCAAGAATTTTTAGATTATGCCACCTAGTTGAGGAAATATGAAGGGCTCTTGTTTTCTTTTTACCCATCACTGGCCATTTATTTTGACTTGCCTGTAATACATTCTACACAATGTGCAATATTCACATAATTGGATTAATAAATATTCATGTATCTGAGTCATAGATGAATAAAAGTGTGAATTTATCTGCACCAGGTAAAACCTTCTTGGACATGAGATTTTTATCGCTAATAGCAAATTAAAAAAAAAAAAACAAGAGCTATGTGAGAATATTCAGCTTCAAATTCTACTCAACATGGGTGGCTGATGTTAGGCCAATCATGATCTTTCAGCAAATGTATTCCACAGGGAATAAAAGTAAAATAGAGGAAACTCTGCATACCATTATTTGGCTCTGTATGGGGGCATACAGAGTACAACAATAAATAAAATAAATGTTGCTGGTATTAGTTCAGAGATCTTTGAAAAATGTCCCACAAATTTGGTATGGAAGTTAATTAGTGTAATAGAAAGAGCAACCTATGAAGAAAAATGCTTTTGTGGGAGCATGATTCCTTGTTGTCAATTTGTAGTATTGAAGAATTGGTTTCCATACCATTATTTCACTGTTCATGTGCTGGTAGGAAATATTTCTGAGTAAACTGTGATTCTTTTAATGTGGCACAGTGCAATTATATTTAAAAAATGTATAAATTGCAACATGTATTAAATGTCAAAATACCTACTCTGAATTATGAATTCAAATGACATTATTTTAAAAATATGCAAGAAAGCATCTTCATAATTATATGTTATCAACACAGAGACATATTAGCTATTCTTTTAACATAATTAATTTTATGCACAATGCATTTGTTTATGGTATTTGTCATTATTCATCAATATAATTACGAATTACTGAGGATTGTTTTATATAATCTTTTTAGTTATTTTAATTGCCAGTTGATTTCCCTTCATTTCTACATTTCATATTCTTTATTATTTTAACTACTGGGCGTTATTCCATATTAGCTGCTATCTAAATTATTAAATTTAAATTTAAATTTCATCTTCTTCCTCCTTCACAAGTTAAGCTTGACTTCTGGTGACTTCACAGAAAAATTCTAGTTGCCTCACATTCAAGTGTTTGAATATAAATTGAATGAATCGATACATTTATTTTATTTAGAAAGTTTACATTGCTGTCCATTTTAAATAACTCTGAAGAGCTTTTCAAATGATGATTCAAAGGATAACACAATCTAAAGGTAAGTTTGTGTTTTTGCTCACTAAAATCAAAAAATTGTATAAAACTCCCACTAAACAGAAAAAATACAATTAAAAATCTCATAATACAGTAGTCAAGACATAATTAATTCTCAGCACAAAAATGGGTGTTAGGTTCTTGTAAAACTTTCACTCTGATGCCTGGGAGAAAAGCATCCCAGGAGGCCAAAACAGTTTGAATATTACAATGGAGACGAGGCTATTCCATTGGCCAGCAACTGCAACTGGGTTCAATCCAGCTGGATTAGCCAAGTTTGTTTAGTGCTGTGACCACCATCCATTACAACCATAAGGCAATACCAATTAAATTAATTCCTTTAGGATTACAGCATTTCATCATTTTCTACTGTCACATCAAGGCACAAGTCATTTCTGCAGTCACTAATTGGCCTGACCCCCTAAGCCATATTTGAACCATAATAACAGGCCACCATGACTAAACTCATCCATCACAATGATTCCTCTACTCGACTCCTCTACTCGTTGAAGAATACCTGATGCCACCAGACTGGAAATTCTTGACCTAGACAACCTAGAACTACGCTGCCTTCAGTCTGATCTAAGTATAATATATAAAATTATACATTGCAATGTCCTACCTGTCAATGAATACTTCAGCTTCAACCATAACAATACAAAAGCACACAATAAATACAAACTCAAGGTAAACCGCACCAAACTTGATTGCAGGAAATACGACTTCAGCAACAGAGTGGTCAATGTTTGGAATACTCTCCCTGACTCTGTGGTTTCTTCCCCAAAGTCCCAAAACTTTAACCTTAGACTGTCTACTATTGACCTCACCCCTTTCCTAAGAGGTCTGTAGGGGGCGTAGATAAGAGCACCAACATGCCTACCATCCCTGTCCTATTGTTTCTTTTTTATTCATATCCACTTCATGTATTCATAACCATACTTATATCTGTTATCTTATAATTGCTTGACAAAATAAATAAAATAAAATAAAATAAATGAATCCAAATCAAACTGAATCTGTTACGGTTTGACACAGGGATGAGCCACACAGAATGCAGGAACTGCAGGTGATCTCACAGAATGCCTTCTGCAGCCCCAAAGCAATCCTGAAAGGAGAAGGGTTTTGTGCATAGGAAGCAAAAGTGTTAGTATGGTCTTTTTTGTAACTGGAGTTAAGAGGTATTTCATCCATTTAAAACATGTGGAAAATCCATATCAGCCATTTAATTTTTTCAGGGAGAAAGGGGAGAAAATGGATCTGTAAACTTTAAGCACAATTTCCAAAGTGTTCAACTATACAAAAAATAAACCTTGCTAAAAAAAAAAAAACTTGGAAAAGTCATGGCATTTTCAGTAACATCTCCATGGTGTCAAATACCTTTTTGTTCCCCCCTTTTTTTTTTTGACAAGGAAGAGTGAGACTATCTTGCCTCATTTCATTTGAGTTGTCATTCTTGCCATGATTTCTCTTTTTTTTTCCTTCCTATTGTTGCAATTGGATTTCACTGACATTTGTTTTGATTATGAACTGCCCAGAGCAGTACAGAAGTTTAACAATAAATAAAAATAAATAGAATTCACAAATATATACACTTTGTTTTTGTCAAAATAAAAAAGCAGCATTGTGTTTCCATGCTTTAAGATTTAGGCAGGTGTGTGTGCATCACAACACAAATGTAAAAATGGCAGGTATTGGCTGGTGATGCAAGAGGCTGCTTTTATCATTCTGTCCCCCTCTTGACTCCCCTGCAGACATTACTGAATGCACTTTAATCCTGTATTTTGGATCATAGGTTGCCGCCATTGCAGAACAGATTGGGATCCTGATTGTACACTGTGCACTCTAGCAGAAACAACTGGACTGACACCTTATTCAAGGTTTTGCTCCACGCATACCAGTCTCTAAGCAACTAGATTTCCTAGCAAATTGCCCTGCTCTTTATATAATCTGGCAGATGGTCAGCATTGTCTAGAAAAATACTGTGCAGATGCTGAGAACCAGTATTGTCTTGGGATGACTCGGGGTCCGCCTACCTGTGGTTTCTGAGATATGGAACGTTTCCTGGAAAATTTGCAGAAATTTACGCCTATGAAAGACCTACCACTTCATACAGGCCTTCTTGTACTAACAGCTTTTCTTTCACTTTTGTTTTTCTTCTTCCCTTGCTGTGCTACAAATTAGGCTTGTGCCGTTTTATGTACAGTTTGTCTTTCAACTGTTGATGATCAATCACTTCAGGATGGGGAGCGACTTACAAATGCATATAAATATATATACAAATGTATATACATTTAGTATATACATTTAGCAACAACTAATAATCACACAGAGCAGAAATGCAGAGAAACATCGAATGCAGAAAGAACCGCCTGCCTGGATGTCCATTGTCACCTCTACTCTTTATCCTCACACTAGAAAACTTATTGACAAATATCAGGAAAAATAAATTAAAGGGGTTACAATTAGAAATGAGGAATATAAAGCACAGGCTTTTGCTGATGATACAGTGGTTTTTTTAGAGGAACCGGAGGAAGCTGGAATGATCTTAATAAGAGAAATTGAAGAATTTGGCAATGTTGTGGGACTCAAAATAAAAACAAAATGAAGATATTAACTAAGAATATGAAGGATAAACAAAAAAAAAGAATTATAAGGGAAATTGGGAATGCAAATTGTTAAAAGAGTAAAATACCTTGGTATTTGGTTAACATCAAGGTGTTCATCAATTAAGGAAAATTATAATAAATAAAACAAATAAAAAATAATTGGAATTATGGGGGAAGTTACACATTTCGCTAATGGGAAGAATTGCGGCAGTCAAAATGTCTATATCACCAAAAATTCTATACCGTTTTCAAACCATACAGGTAAAATTGGATAAAAAAAAATGGGGGGAATTAGATAAAACAGTAATCAAATTTGTCTGGGCAGGAAAAAAAAGCTAGAAATAAAATGAAATTATTGCCGGATAAGAAAGTGGCTTTGGACTCCCAGATTGGGAGTATGTATAGAAATAGTGTAAATGTAAACAAAGACTTGACGTTGACACAATTGTGTATATAATTTTATTTTATGTTTTTAAAACTTTTCAAATTTGAATAAAGTTTATTTAAAGAAAGAAAAGAACCGCCTGCCTATACAAACCGATTTGGAAGCAAGCCTCGTGCAAATCTAATAGGCTTCCTCTTAAGTAACAAGCCAGTCTTAGCTAACCACAACAACAACAAAAAAGGACGCTTGCTTGCTTGCTTGCTCTGTGGGCAGAAAGACGAGCTCCGTCGGCTTCAGCTTTTTCTACGGAGCATGCTCGGCAGGCCCATATCCGTCCCCGCCTTAAGGGCTTGCGGGGGGGGGGTGTTGAAGCAAAGAGGCTTTTTTTTATATGTTGGCCCCCTTTGTTTGCATGTTTCTTTTTTGTAGAAAAGCTTCAGCTCGTGCATCACCGCGGAGCCCACGATGAACTCGAGCGCCGCGGCTACTCAGCCCTTCTCCAGTCCCATGCAATGTAAGTGGCCGCGCGCCTTATCCGCGCTCCCGGGCCGGGGAGTTGGAAAAGCAGCGTTGTGCTGTGGCACTGGCGGGCCCCGCAACCTGAGTAGCGGCAGAAGCGAGCGCTCGGATCGCCCGGGAATCTGGCTGAGCAGCGGCTACGGGCCCCGGAACCTGGGTGGCGAGAGAGAGAGAGCAGCGAGCGGATCCGAGAAGGCGCACCGAGGGGTGGCACGGCTGCGCGAGAAGGCGCCCGGCGGTTCGGAGAAGGGGGTTTCTCTGGGCTTTCTAACTACGCGCTGAATTGCTGCAATCGCTTATTTACAAGATGTAGGGGAGGGGCCCCGAGGAAGCCAGTGCAATGCAACCCTTGCCGAGGATATGCAAAGCGTGAAAGCTGCCCAAGTCCCGGGTAGCTGCCTGGTTCAAGCCTCTTAAGGAAGGTTCACGCCGATTAAGACGGCTCAGCTTGCAGAGAATGCAGGCCTCTTCCTAACCTGGCTACACAACCACGGAAGGCTTAGCTTTTGCGTTTCCGTTGTGACGCATCTTTTTCCAGATGACTGTCGTGCCGCTGTGCGCTTGGGAGACTTTGGACTGCAGTTGACATTATCCCCAGACGATATGGTCTTGGATGAACACTGGCATCCAATTAGAAAATACTGTTTTTGTTTTTTTTAGAATAGAATAATAGAGTTGGAAGGGACTTTGGAGGTCTTCTAGTCCAACCTCCTGCTTCGGCAGGAAACCCTATACCATTTCAGACAAATGGTTATCCAATCTCTTCTTTAAAACTTCCTGTGTTGGAGCATTTACAACTTCTGGAGGCAAATTTAAGCTTGGCAAGATGGTTATTTTGTATAATCCTCTTTTCTCTTTTTGGCAGCAAAAGTTTAGATCAGGGACAAGAAAGGGAAGACCTCCAGATGATGTTGCTGAAAGACATCCAGGGCAGGCAATGGTGAAGGATGCTAGGAATTGTTCACCAACATTTGAAGGACTGCAGTCCCCAGCCCCAGTTGTTTTTATGCAGAGTTTTATCCCAGCATCTATTTGCAAGTCATCATACCAGTTGCGTAAAAGTTGATCTATTCTACATTAACTTGAGATTCTGAACCAAAGTGTAACACTTATAAGCAAATTAAGGTGAGAAACATGGGATACACATGTTAATTTAACTACATTTTTTACAACATTTTTTAGGAATTCTGGGAGTTGAAGTGTACATCATAAAGTCACCAAGGTTCAGAAACACTGCTTTATTGTAGCAATGTAAAATAACAGAATCTCTGGTTTGTAATCAAGGCAGGGTTATTTTGAACTTTTTGATACAATTTCTTATTTCAGGATGAAACATTTCTGCAAGTTCTACAGACCCTTATTCCTTCCTTTTTCTCAAAGTTAGTTCTATGTTCCTTCACAGCTCACTCTGATGATATAATGATGTTACTGGGTACAGCCATAATGCATCTTTTGGAAATCTGTTTTTAAAAAGTCCATTGATCATGCATTCAGTACTTTCTGAATATAAAATTTGTCTGTTAATATCTTTTGAGAGTCATTAACTGTTTGGTTCATATATTTTGGCAGTTCCTGGTGGAACCACAGTCCTTGTGGAGCTCACTCCAGATATCCACATTTGTGGTCTCTGCAAACAACAATTCAACAATCTTGATGCCTTTGTTGGTCACAAAAGGAGTGGTTGTCAGCTGTCTGGCACAACAGCTGGAGCTACCAGTACAGTGCAGTTTGTGGCTGAAGAAACAGTGCCAGCCTCACAAGCACAAACTGTTGCAAGAACCATCACATCAGAAACACAAACCATCACAGGTATTTCACCTAGAAGATTTGGGAAGTGATGTCTAAGAAGCAGATAGTTTCATTTCTTTGAACACAGAGGAGACCACACTGAAACTTCATGGTTTAATTTCTGGCACTGTCAATAAAAATGAAGGAAGTCTTCCCCACATCTTAATGAGCAGCAAGACTGGCAGAGCTGTATGGGTGTGTGGCTCAGTATATCTGTATGACATTTGTAAGTTCCATTCTTGGGGACAGGAAGAGAGGATTTGAAAAAGTTTCTGAAAAAAAAAATTACATTATCTCCATATTGGAAAAGAAACCCCCAAGCGCAATTTGAGACTGTTGGGCTAGCTGGAGAAATAGAAGTAGTTTAGTAAGTATAAATACAGGTAGTCCTTGCTTAAGAACCCACTCATTCAGCAACCATTTGAGCTTACAGTGGTGCTAAATGTAGGGGTTTTATGATGGATCTTCATAGTTACAGTTGTTGCCGTGTTCCCATGAACATATGATCACAGTTCAGCTGCTCAGTATCCAGCTTGGAGTTATGTTATAGCATCTGGTGGTCATATGGATCACCATTCGTGACCTTCACTGACAACAATAGCAATAGCACTTAGATTTATATATCACTTTATAGTGCTTTAAGGTTTAGAGAATCAGCATATTGCCCCCAACAATCTGGGTCCTCATTTTACCCACCTTGGAAGGATGGAAGGCTGAGTCAACCTTGAGCCTGGTGGGATTTGATCTGCCAAATTGCAGGCAGCTGGCTGCAGCAGAAGTAGCTTGCAGTACTACACTCTAACCACTGCGTCACTGAGGTTCTATGTTGGAACAATGTTGGAAGCCAGCAGGAGAAATGACAATCACATGCCCATGAGCTCTTGAGACTGCTCAGGATTTCATAACAACATCAAATGGGACTGCCAGAACTGCTGTCATAAATCAGTGCAGTTACGTGGATATCATTTTTTACAACCGTGTCATTTATTGATGAAATTCCTGGTCCCAATTACCATTTTTTAAGCAAAAAGTACTTATCAGCTTCTATGTTTTCCTTTTTGCCCATCCTGTGTTCAGGATAGGCAACAAAGTGATCAAGAATGAAAATATCTGAACCTCCTGTTTTTTTTCCCTGCCATTAATGCCTTATTGTCAGGCATAAGAAGCCAGGAGTCAGGATAGAATTCAAAAGCACTGGGAAGTTTATTCCAAGCAGCCTATACAAAAATCTGAACTACTAACAGTCAGCAACAAATTAGGGGCAGATAAGAGTCAGCGGACTTTGGGGGGGAGGGGAGGGCTGGACTTAGATCCCATTTGGGATTCCAGACTGATGATGACCCCCACCCTTGAGCTAATCCTGGTCATCTCTTATGCTTAACTCTGGTTTGTTGATTGGGTATAGAAAGGTAGACTCTGAACATAAAAATATCTAAACGATAGAAAGTCAGCAAAGGTTGCACTGAATGCATGAAAGGTTTTTCTGCCACCAATCCATATACAATTGAGTAACAATATGAGGAAAAGGCTTTCAACATTCGGGGATCATAAAATGAAGCTCTTTTTATGTTTATCAGTATCGGCGCCCGAGTTTGTTTTTGAGCATGGCTACCAAACGTACCTATCTGGTGAGAACAGTGAACCTCGGACAGCTACTGTTGTTACTACCCCACCGAAATCACGCAGCAAAAAGTCTAACACATCATTGGCACAGAAGAAATTCAACTGCAGCTACCCAGGTAATGGATAAACCAGTGGGTAAATAGAAGTCTAGTTTTAAATGGAAGGTGGGGCAGAGGGCACCCTTGGCATTTTGAAAATATGTTGTGAGTACAGCAGCTACCATGGAAGGGAGTGGGGGGGGAAATTCTTCATAAAATGACATTTAGAGTCACATGATGATTCCAGACAAGAATTGAGTAGCAAAGGCCTTAGATAGTGCTGGGGGGTGTCCAATATGTTTTGTTTCCAGATCAAAATTTTGACAATGTCCCAAATCTGAGGATGAAATAGGCTTTTTTTTTTAATCGATCTGGATCCATTTCAAGCATTTTCTTCATTGCTTTTATGCCAATGAAGATTCTCAGTCACCCGGGCAGAGTTACCTGGAAGTTGAGTCATGGCATCTGGACTTATTTTATGCTGAAATAATAGAAAATACTTGTAGCTCAGGTTTTAGATTTTGGCAGTGGTTTGCTGTCCAAGCTTGTTTTAATTTAGTTTCTGAACCTTTCGTTATCAAGCTAGGTAACATCATCAGCAGGATTGTCTTGTCTTATTCTCCTTAGCTTATAATGTTTTATTTGCCAGTGTGGTCAGTTGATCAGTTGGTTGGTTGTGCGTTTGAAGTTATATTTAAATTCTGAGCAGCTGATTGGTTCTTTTGTTGATTGTTATTTTATGCTGGTTTGAGACATTTTGCTGCCTTCCCAGCAGCTTCCTCAATCAGAATAAGTTGGTTAAGGGAATCTAAGTAGACAGAGAGCCATTGGGATATGCCAACTCCTAAAATTCTTAGGGGGATTCCAGCACTAACCTCAGGATTTCGGCAAGAAAATTAAGAAAACTATACACTTTGGGGAAGAAATCCTGAGGTTGGTACAGGAATAACCCCTAAGAATTTGTTACATTCCAACGGCTCTCTGCCTACTCCAATTCCCCTAACAACTTGTTCAGACTGAAGAAGCTGCTGAGATGGGCAGTGTAATGTCTCAAATCAACATAAAATAAGTCCAGTTGCCTGCCATGACTTAATTTCCAGACCCCTGATTTTAGCATTTCATGTTTCCAAAAGTTTTAAAACAACACGTTTCACAGTTGAAACAGTTTTTCATTCAAGAAGGTCGATGGCTGTATTTGAAACAGTTGGAAAATGCACACTCCCCATGCTCACAATTACCTAGATCCCAGCATGCATAAAAAGTGTGGGAAAATGCCTTGCTTCAGTGACTTGGAACCTTTGGTCATGGAATTAGTAGGAGCCAAAAGACGTTCAACTGCTACTTAATTCTGTCCTTTGCTGATGGACAAAATCCACTAATACACATCTTTAATTCATGACCACCCAACCTTTGCTTAAAATCTCCTGATAAAGAATACTCCACTACCTTTCAGAATAAACTATTTTAATGGATTAATGTAGACAAATTCTCCTGATGTTTCTTGTTGCGTTGCTTCTGGCAAAGGTTCAGGCCATATTAGTTAATGGAGAGAATGGACTGGCTGAAGTTAGAAGGCATTTCCAAAAGGAAAACCTCTGAGCAGGAAATCCTCTGGAAAAGAAAAAGCAAGACATAGTTATAAGGAAGCATATATGCTATACTCAGGCTAGACACAGTATCATTCAGTTATAAAGAGCTCTGTCTTACATTGAGCAAAGATCATTATTCCAGATAACTCAATACTATATATTCTGTCTAGTAGTAGTATCCTCCAGATACAAGTTACTGGTAGTCCTCGACTTAAGACTGATCAAGCCAGCAATTAGGTTGTAAGTTATGCTGGTTGTTAAGCAGGTTATCATGTGATTAACTTTATTTTACAATATTTTTAGCGGCTGTCATTAAGTGGGTCCCCAGTGGTCATCTAACCCATTGTCTGCAATGGGTGTGGTGGGGGGGTTGTTTTGCCAGAAACTGGAAGTAAACACCATTTTTTGACACACAAAAAGGTCGCAAATTAAGGTCAAATGACCACAGGATGCTGCCAGCAGCTATAACTGCTGGTTGGCTGCTGAGTACTCAAAATGCAATTGCATGATTTTTTTTAGGGGTGTGCATGTGTGTGTGCATGTGTGTGTGTATGTGTGTTTCAGAACTTTGAATCGGACTTCAGGTCATAAATACCTTTTGGGGGGACTGTCATAACTTCAGTTGCTAAGTGACTGATCGTAAGTCGAGGAACACCTGGCTTAACTAATAATTGGCGCTAATTGAATTAAACCTGAGGACTTCCTCCTACACCAGATTAATTTTGTCATAGAGCTACCTCCCTGCAATGACATAGCTAATTTTCTCAAGCCCAAATTAAGCATGGTTCAATGAATTATTTAGGTAACGTGCACTTTCTATAGCAGTTGGCACCAAGAAGCTCACCTGGGCTGATCTTAAAATGCTGAACAGATTTGGACCTGAAAAAAAAAGAAAGAAAAAAAAAATTGGACCTATTTTGCTAAAACAACCAGGAAACCCCAATTATTAGTCTAGACTGGGAAGTCAAAAGAGATTCCAGGAGAAGGAAGCTACACTTGTGTACTGTTTTAATCTAGTCATCAGGAGATGATCCCATCTAGTGTATTCCATTTGGCCATGTTTTCATTGAAAAACTAAGATGGAGAATTGAAATGTTATACTTTATTGCAACTGTTGACACATTCAGTCTATAGCTAGAAAAATTGCAGGATTTTTATGGAACTACATCAGTAGGTGCCTGCAAATCTACCAGTTACTTTTCTGCAAGAAAACACAAGCATGCTTGACCTTCGAAAAAAACATGGTTGTATTATATGCAAATCAGTAAATGGAAGCGCTCAGAGAGATACTTTCTTCTTGTTGGGGCTTTTTTTTCCTCTTTTTTCTTAGAAGCCTTACAGGACCTCAAGGGACTTGGCAGTTACGAATTGTTCTTTGCATTGTATTTATGTTCTGCCCATTGATCTGTTGCTCTCTGAGATGGAATGAGGAAATAAATTGGCATCGCTTGTATTAATTTTACTCAGTGACATTGCCACAAAGTTCCAAGAAGATTCATGGAAGTAGTTTTTAAAATTAATTTAGGCTGACATTGATCATGCGGCCTAAGGAGTGGGGAAAATAACCTTCCATGTGTGATTAACTCAATTAACTTCATTAGGACATATAGCCAAACCTGTCTTGGCTTGAGAATTTGACTGAAATTTATGCTGCATATCTCCCTCTGCACTCCAATTTTGCTCTCAAGCAGCATTTACATTTCAAGCAAACCACCTGAGGAAAGGAGTCAATAGGCTAATCCAGTAAGGTTCAGATCCTTGTTTGGTGGCAATGCTCGGTGCACGGATTTAAATGAATTAATATCTTTCACCCTGGTCCACTTATCTTGGAGAAATATATCCTTCTCCCCCATGTTCATTGTCATGGCCACTGGCTTGCAACACTAGAATAGTAAGCAATGGTAGACCAAACCAGAAATAGAAAACCGGGTGTCAGCATTCCAAGTAACAAACTCCAACTCCATAAACTCCAAGATAACCATTTTCTCAAAGTTCCATTTTATTAGAGTTGTCATATTGGCACATCTGGGAAAACCCAAATCTGACAGTTGTGGGCTTTCCCTTAGTAATCAAAAATCAAAACCCCATCACATGGCCCAATCACCATCCGTTCCAACTTGAGACCTTCCTCCAACCACTCCTTTTCCAGGTGCAGGATGACTTGTCCTTGACTGAGAGGAAGAATGTTGTTATGACTAACTTCCTCTCTCTATGAGGTCCCCCCTCCCAATTTCCCAGGCACTAGAACGTGGCAGTGTAGAAACTTCTAAGAAAAGCATGGCTTCCAAAGCTGACACCAGGTTTCTGCATCCATAGCTCCATTCTGGGAAGGAGTGCTGGCAAGGCAATTTAGACTCAAGGGAAGTTTGTAAGGCAAGTTAGATTTAAAAAAAAAAAACCTGCTCAGGTAGCTAAAAATATAGGAGAAAAGAAATAGGAGGAATTTATTTCCTTTTCTCTTAAGAACTGAGGACAATTTTTTCTACAATGGTAAAAGACAGTCTGCAAGGAGTTGTATTTTTTTCCTTGACTGGTAAGAAGACAAATGGGTGCACGATGTTACGGAGAGTTCTGCTCTATTTTTCTTTTTTTCTTTTAAACTATTTCTGCCCTGGCTGGAGAATTGGCAGGCATTACTTGTGCTCTATAATATGTCAGAAATTTTATATGACAGCTGGAACCATCAGTGGGAGAGCTCACTATCCAAATTCTTAAGAGAATCCAGAGGCACAACTGCCTACAGAGGGAGATCTTGCTTCTGGTCATAAGGACTTTATTGATTCCAAAAAAACTATTGCAGTTTATTTCAAAGGAAGTTTAATTTGGCCAAAGCTGCAGCTTTTATGACTGATGCCACTATGGGTGGTATGCCGTTCAGGTGATACATTTGGATATTATTACTCATGTCCAGAAGTGGTTACTAATGTCCAGATTCTGTGGTTATCACAAGAGTGAGTGGTTCTTTTCCACATTTGTTAGAAAATGAAACTGCTTCAGAATTTGAAGTGTTTTATTTATTCATCAAACAATCTGTGCCCAGTTGTGTCAGTGTTTCAGATTTATTTCCTTATCTAAACAAAGAAACAGAAATGACCAAGGGCAGGCAAAAAAAATCAATAGAAGCAGGAGTGACTTTCAACTCCCAGCTGGCTTCCCCCTTGAGTTTCTTTGTGGGAATCTGTTAGGGAGCTTTGGAAATCTTCCTTCTTTCTTCCTTCCTTCCTCCCCTCCCTCCCACCCACCCACCCACCCGGCAGGCAGGCGGCTGTTGCTGGATGGGGGAAAGGAGCAAAGAATTACAAGATTGGCTGAGAAACTGTCACAGAACATTGAGAATGAAACACATGACCACAGTAGCAACCAGTAGCATAGAAACAGCCAAAACTTGGCTGTGGAAATGTCTTTTCCTTCAGAATCATGGGTTCTGGATTTTGGACAGATCTATTAGTTAGCCCATCTGAGGTATCTTGGTTCAAAAATGGTTGCCCT